AAGTTTGAAATCAGACAAAACTCTTATTTTGTATTTCACTGCTCATCATAATGCAAAAGTATATTTTCGTTTCTTCAGCAATTTGGATGACTCTCCCGGTCACCCACATTGTACGAGGATTCCATGTACCTAAATTAATGGTTGCTCTAGTTTTCAGAAGAGGCATCAGCCTCGTGACTTTCGATGGAACTCGGCTTTCATCATGAGGGGTCATTACTCTTTTAAATGAAGACGTTCTATCTCCCTGGACATAGTTTAAATGGTTTGAATTACTTTTACTGCTTAGCATTTTTTAGCGAGTTGCTTTTCTACGGAATGGTGTCTCAAACCCCTTGCTCAATCCTCCTCCTTTATCCGTGCTTGGGACTAGCAGTAGCCACAGAGGGGCTCCAGGCGGAGTTATACTACAAGTATAGGTATGCACATTTCTGTTTCAGTAAAAACAACTACCCATTCAGTAATTTGTACAATTTCGACAGATAATTTATTCAGTAGTAAATAAACAAATTGTTATAATATGGTTTATAATGTGTCCCATAATCGATAGATAATAAAACTAGTAACACGATATATGAATAAAGTAAACTTGGATATCGTTTGAACATAAGACTGTCTAATCATTAAAGCAGGTTTATAAGTATCAACTTCTCGGTTGAATCCATCAATATATTGATAAATTAACAGGGTTTCTGTAATTCTTTCACGATAACAACATAATCACGCTTATCCAAACTCACTGATAATCATCCTAGTTACAATGTAATAGATCAGATAAATTAACAAGTACATATTTGATTTATACTTTATTCATTGACCCAGATCATTAATAGTACAATAAAGGGTTTAAACTACCACTTAGTACACTTTTCAAAAACATGCAGAATAATAAACAGGATTATCAATTTTTCATGCGTGAAATTGTGAACTGATGCATAGTTAATCAAAGAATGTATTTATTAATTTCTTGTTCAGTTTAACTTAATACTGAAGAAGCTCGAACTAATTTTCCAGGTGAAATATTTGTATTATTTAAATTCCGATTCAAGGGATTACTACAAATTTTGTCTAACATCATTACTATTCTGATTTTCTAAACAATTTTAATACTAAATTCACTTGCTGTTGTTTACTTGTATCTTCCGATTGTTATTTAGGACTGTAATTGACCAGTCTCTTGTTGGAATATGTACATCCTGTGTGGACTGCCTCGATATTGCCTTGAATCACAAGCTTTATGAACAAAGATGGATAGTGGCTAGCAGTGGAATCCAGGACGCGCGTCTCGTCCTATTTGGGACTTGTCAGCTGAATGTACATGAATACTACCATATTTAAAATTCAATAAGAAATTTCCAAGTTAACCTACCACTATTTTACTTATTAATCAGCCCTATTCATATCATCCCTTAATTTATAACAAACGGCCTAATATAATAATGTATATTTATGTGTAAACATGTAACAACTAACGCCCATCTGATTATTTTGAAGTTGATATTTATTCTACTTACTACAATTAAGTAGTGTTTCATTCAAATAAAGAATTATTAACAAACAGTTCTGACAGTTTCTCATATCACTATGGGGATTGAAGCTAGACACCAACACCGTTGGGTGCAGACTCAGTGGTTTGGAGGTTAGGCGTACGCTAGCGAGTCCAAAAGTCCTGAGTTTCAGTCCTTTGTGTGGGATTGTGGGTACATACTGCTTAGGAGTCCCATATTAGAACGGGACGGAATTCCAATGCTTCCAGGCCATCAATAGTAGTCTAGCTTAGATCGACTCGTAACTTCAACTGTGAAAAATGTCTCATATATTCTACATATGTAGATCTTCAATAATTATAAACTAACAAGATTCGTTGTATGTACAATTCATTGACTATCCATATCTACAATATAACTTATCCACACTTATCGCAACTTATTTATTGCTTCATGATATTGAATAAATGAAGATTATTCATTAGTATAAACGCCTTCTTATTAAAAACAAAAATCACTATATTCGATAAATAAAATTGTAAAATTGTATAGTTTCATGTTAATTCTTATGAAAAAACTTATATAAGATAAATGATAAGTGAATCAATGTTCAGTTATATTAGTTCAGACTTATAAATGATATCATCTTCGCACCAGCATAAATTTCACTGTTTAGTGAAGTAAAAAATAACTGACCATATCATCTATATTATCAGTATAGGGTTTTGGAGATCATTAAATTTTTGATTGAGATCATGTGCATCAAACACTGTCAATTTTCAGTTAGATTATTAATATATAGATGACATGCTTTTGATTGAGACCATGAGACGATTGATGTTAGAACACTGGACGGTCGTTTCGTCATGCTATAGGACTTTTCAGTAATACCCGTCCACGATGTCATAGATGTCAGCTCAGTGGTTCAGTAGGTTAAGCATTCGCGTTTAACTAAACCAACTGCTTCATTTTCAAGTCAACTATGTTATATGAATCCTTCTTATGGCAATACTGCACTTATATGTCAGGTACAACCACTTTAGAAATAGGTTCTGAAAGTCAGATGCAGCATCCCTACACTGACGAAGATTCTCATTCGCAATATCCTCTAACATAGTATTTTCCACCTATTTCATCAGATAAATGATTTCGCGCAGAAATCCAGTCAGCACAAGCCAAGAACCCATAATCCTACTTCTTGTCAGTCAGATGACTTTTCCGGAACTCCCTAACTATCCGGCTTTATTAAGTAAGATTCACTAGGAAATATAATAAAGTTATCTCTCCAGAATAACTTTTCAGCTAAAAGAATGTCTAAAATTTAAACACTTTAAAATATTAAAAACTCCTATTGTGTAATGTAGAACAATACATATAAGCAAACATTATTTGTCTTAGTCAGATCTTTATATCAGAAGGGGTTTTGTGGAGGTTTTAGTAATTTCAATAGTTGAAATCATGAGTCAATTGAAGCTAGGCCACCATGGAAAACGTGGAAGCACTGGACGGCCGTTTCGTCCTAATATGGGACTCCTCAGCAGTGTGGGATCGTGGACGCGCATTGGTATCACTGCATGCAATTTATTGAGGCTAAAACTTCGTATCGATGGTCAATTTATTTATCTACTGATAATTAGCACGCATCGCCAATCTGTTATTTTCGGTTTTATTCTAAACATAATTTTATGAGGAAGATACCTAGTTTCAAAAGACTCTAATAACGATAAAAAAACAAATCACTTTTTTAATCCTCATTCAGTACACTCTAGCCTCTACGCATACAAACATACACGCCGATGTAGCATTGAGATATTGTAATTCCAAACTTTCTGTAATACGTTGATCACTGTTCACCTACAAGCAGTCAATAAGTGCTCAAGAAACTAAATTCTTTCTGGAAACTCAAAGCGTTTTAAATATGACCGCATGTAGTTAGGTTTGAGGATATTTTGAGAGATGAGTCTCTTAAATCCTTTATACCCAAAGAGAATACACCGATTGACGAATGCAAGTTATTCATGGATCTCAATCAAATAATAAACAGACACTTTATTGATGCTTTTATATAGTTTATTATGCAAGAATGACATCCTTAAAAAATGATGGGAACTTCCAGTTAACAAAATATCATATGCAAGTTGAAACGTGAGGAAATAACAACCCCGAAAAACTATGGATATCAACGAGGCTTCTTATTACTTACTTCTTTTTAAAAATTAACTTTTAAAATCTAGGTTAGCTGTTTCTTTGGATATAATTGTAAAGACATAAGAAACTGATATTGATATGTATGTACTCTGAAGAAAACTTTAAGGGGATCAGCTTCTTTCATAAAATAACTACAACAAAATGAAAAGCATTACACGAACAGCACAATTATTGGAAACTGAAACATCAACAACTGGAGCATTACCACAAAACCAGCAAAAAACGGACAGTGTGCAAGAAACTGTATCAATAATGGCTTACAAAAATGACGTAATTAAAACTTCCATCGTTAAAATGACCAAAGAAGGGAAATTTAATACCAACTAGAGAAATAACTTGTCTTATTAAAATTTGTAAAAAGAGGTATAAGAATGATCAGTGTAGAATATTGAAAGATTTTCACATTTTAAGTCACGGATTGATCGTAGCTAGATCATCATTGAAAACTTGGAAGTACTGGACGACCGCTTCGTTTTAGTATGGGACTTCTCAGCAGTAGGCATCCACGGCACTTCACGTGGCAATCGAGCTCAAGGCCTCTATGCCAACAATAAACATGTGCTCACTAGTGACCAGATTTAAGATGTAACTCCAGGAGTTCTAGGGTCTACTCATAACCAGTGAAGTTCAATCCGTGTCAGGTATCTGATATTTATCCATCGTAGGCAATGGATGAGGGTTGCACAATATCGTGATTTCGTTGAAGTTAGACATTAACACTTTCGAGTGTTGACTCAATGGTCTAGAGGTTGAGCATTTGTGCGTGAAGTCGAGGGTACTGGGTTCGATTCCCTGTGGAGGAATCATGGTCGCTCACTGCTATGGAGTCTGATACTAGAGAACAATGGCCAACCGGTGTCTCGGGATTTAAGTTTAAATAATCTTCATTAAAAATTATCAAATTATCTACTTCCTATTATGGAACGGTAATTCGAGCTATAATTATTCTTATCACTCTCAGTACATCTGTTACCACATCAACCGTTCTGTACTTTCCGCTTTACATAATTAGTAAACTTTTGAACTTTTTAAAAGCCTCTAAAAATGTCTCTATAATCATAATACTGACTGATAATTTCAAAATAACTTGGAACATATGAAAATTGTATTTCGTTTCTACCATGAAAATCTGTCGACATTGTGAAGGCCAGTTTTTTGTTTCTTTTGGTCAACTTAACCAATCCTCTTACAGTTACATTTTCATTTCAGCCAATTAACTCATCATATAAGTAACCTTAATGAGAAAAAATCAATCTATTATCAGTTTTTGTGCATAACATTCTCATTCTAAGTATATCACATTGACAGATGGATTTAGATTTCTCTGATCTCTTTACGGATAGCTCAAATAAGACTGAACAATCCAATACAAATTATTTAGGTAAACCTTCAATAGAACATGTTTGTTTATCGAACACAACTGAATATATAGATGGAAAAATAGAAACTACGTTGTGTGAGTTTTCTGGACAATCAGATACAAACTTTAATAAAACATCTTTGAGTGTACCTAGTGTTTTACCGAATGTCTCTTCTTGTACTAACAATGAGTCCAGGACAACATATTTACCAGGTACAGCCTCATTTAAGATCGATTATAGGAGTCAAATGCAAAGTCCTTATATTGCCGGAAATCCATGTTTGCAAAATCCTCAGACAGATTATTTTTCATCTGTACCGTCAAGTGAATATCCTTTTGGTTGCGACCCAGTGAATACAAATAAAGAACCCGTATACCAAATGTTTGACGATTTTCCTATTCATGCAGCATGTCAGTTTAATGACTTTTTCGGAACTTCCAGAGTATTTGGATATGGTGAATCAGCTCCATACGAAGATATAGTATGTTGTTATATGCATAACTGATTTCGTCTGAATGACTTTTCAAGTCATTTTCGTTAATTATTCTGTGCATTAGTTATTCATGTATTTTTGATTAGCAACTGAAATTCACTATACTGAATATGCATCTAGTCTAAAAATACTTTGATTACTCTTGTGTTTATGACTTATTAGCTTTGGTGTTTTCAAAGCCCGGTGTTTTACATTAGTTTCAAACTTCACATTCCCATAGATTCTAATTTATGGAAACTTATTTTCAGTCTGTCAATATTTTATCCTATAAGGGGGTTAAGAAATTATGGCCTGTGCGCGGGGTCGTGGGTGCGCATTACTGAGGTGTCCCATACTGGGATGAAACGGCCTTTCAGTGCTTACAGATTAGCAATGATGGTTTAGCTTAGGTTGACTCATGAATTCAACCGCCAAAATCGCTTCATTCTCCACAAATCCCCATTCCGATTTTAATGAATCCTTAAAAGTAGGCGTATCTGTACAAACATACTACGCTGCTAAATAATTCTTAACTAACGGTTAACAGTCATAGGAACTTACAGGTGAATTCATTTGATGAATATTATTCCACGGAACAGTGTTTGTAATGGGTGTTAGGATTATTGGTGATATCAGTCAACTGATATCAAATGTAACTTTTAAATTAAATTTTAAAGGGTATGTATATGTTCACTTATATTGATAGATTATTTTAGATTTGCATCGAGGGAAACTTAAAAGCTTCTTTTAACTTCCTGCACAGAGTACTTTAGTGATTTACATTATATTAATACTTTCATTTATATCAAATAAGTCACTGATCAGTTTTGATACATTTTACCACAATTTCCATTTCTACATCTTATGAATGAGATAATATCTGTAGTGGATCATTTGGTTAATAGAAGTTTTAAAACACATTTTAATTGATTTCATTGAACCATTTTATTTAAATTGAACCTATTATCATGTCCTATGACTCATCAAATATCACATGACAAAATTGCTAATCAGAATATCAACTTCTATGACATTATGTTTGTGCTAAACCAATGGTGAGTCAAAACAGCACTAGCAGCCTCGTGTCTACTCATTCCTCATTAGTCCTCAGTATAATAATAATAATAATAATAATTATTATTATTATTATTATTATTGTCAGAATGAGGGTTTGTGGAAATTGTATTAATTTAATGGACAAATTCATCAGTCAATTTCAGCTAGACCACCCTGGAAAACTTGGAAGCACTGGACGGTTGTTTCGTCCTGCTAAAAAGCCCCATACTGGGATGAAACGGCTTTCCAGTGTTTCCAAGTTTTACAGTGTGCTCTAGATTAAATTGACTCATGAATTCAACCATTAAATTATTATTATTATGAACAAGGAAAGTGAATTCAACGAATTTTCAGTTTGAAGAATGATTTATAAATACTAGAGTTATTTAAAAACTCCAATCATTTTTAAGTCCTTTAGCATGCAAAAGTTACATCACTGTACTATCATGCTTCTTTTTTCAGTTAGTTTACATTATTCTGGAATCCTTTCATTTAAATCCGCTGAACATTATTTTAAGTAAACAGTAATAATTTGATATATATCAACACTACTGCAGATTATTTGATTTAAACAACCCTACGTTGTAACTGACTGATATTTTACTTATTTGTCAATATCCATTCACCTTGATTTTAGATGAAACCAACTCTTACTTTTGAACCGAGTTTCACTGTTGAACATGATTGCGAAATTTTGTGGAGATGTCTGTGGAGATTTATAGTAAATGAAAAGAAAGTTATAAAAGTAATGGGTCGTCGACCTGTTGTTCAACGTATAGCAATTTTACAAAGATTTAGATCAATGTACGGAAAACAATTGCCTAGCAAATTTATTTCTAAATTAACTGGATGTTTTAAAGATTGTTTGATTGCGTTGTGCTATGCACCAGCAGAATTTGATGCAATTGAACTTCGTAGAGCAATGAGAGGAACTGATACTGATGAAGATACAATAATTGAAATTCTTTGTACAAGAACAAATGAACAAATCAGAAGAATCAAGGATGTTTATCCAAAATGTAAGTTACTAGGTTGTAAAATCATCAAATATATTTTGTATTGTTGGGAATTACTGAATATGGTCAGTAGTTGAAAGGAAAATTCACTGTGATTCATTTCAACTATTTGAAATTTCTAAGAACTTTAAGATAAACTGCTATCTGTTAATGTTCAATTTTTTTGGCTTTATCTACGGTGAAAATTGGACATCATAAACTTGGTTAAACTGAAAAATCATTGAGAATACAAGGAATAACATGAATCTACTTTTTACTACTTTACAACACATTCGTATTTTACAAAAACAAACCTTCAAGAAACCAATGATTCTAGGTATTTTAGCCATCGCCATCAACTTTAAGCTAATGGGTTAGAATCCAGTTGTCCATATTTCAAAATAGAAGCTCTGTTTATATTTTATACTTCAGAGTTACATTAATTGAATAAACAATAATCCTTATCTAAATTTGAGATTATAACCAAATGAAAATGTTTCAGTCCTATAATGTACCTTTAATGTTATCCATCTAATTATATGGGTCTATGGTAGCCATTTCAATATATTTCCTTTTACTTAGAATAAATATCCTGACATTTACATTTGGAAAATTACTAACTGCTACTATTGTGAAGCAAACTTATTCCTTACGCAACTCCATCATTTGACTTTGAAATTAATAATAATGTTTGTTATTGGAATTCAGGATGTAAATTTCATTCTATTTCGAACATGTCAGGTAGATATACATATATCTCAGTTTTCATGTTCACACAGCGATTATAGTTCAAGACTTGTTTCATTGTGAAAACAAACAGTGGGATTCAGGAATGTTCAGCTAATGAGTCTCATGTAGGAAGAAGTGAACCCCATGGACTACACCGTAGTCACAATTCATCTTTAATGAGAAAGAAAGAAAGAATGACTGTTTGGAAGGATTCAACAGATTGATCAATTATAAATCTTATTATCAACAACGCAGTAATACAATCCCTTGCAAATGCTATAATCTAGACATACTGACTTTTTCTAAAGTTGATATTAACATATTTAATATTTATAGAAAAACAAGTTGTTGCTTAGCCAAATTAAATGTTACAGATTTTGAAAATTCAATTTGTCTACCTATTATCAGAAGGGGTTTTTGTGGATATGATAGTAATTTCAGTGGTTAAGATCATGAGTCGATTGAAGCTAGACCAACATGGAAAACCTAGAAGCACTGAATGACCGTTTCATCCTATTGTGGGACTCCTCAGCAATGCTCATTCATGATCTCGTCTCTCAAGATTCAAATCCAGAACCTATCAGATTAGCTTCAGTTGACTCATGATCTCAACTATTGAAATTACTATATTATCCACAAAAATCGCTTCTGATACTGATCAATATATGCTCACAAGTGCTTGGCTTCAAGAGCCATTCCCTGGAGTTCTAGCTCTCGCGTGTGCGATTCATAGTCCTGGGTTCGAATCTCGTGGGACGGGATAGTGGACGCGCACTACTGAGGAGTCCAACAATAGGACGAAACGGCCATCCAGTGCTTCTAGGTTTTCCATGATGGTCTAGCTTCAATTGACTCATGATCCCAATTATTTAATTTACCTATTATCAGAATAGTTTTACGCAATTTATATTGTCAACTTCGTTTATTTTAAAATAGTGAAAAATCATCTCCAAACTATGAGTGTCATATAGCTTTATAGATATAAAATGTGTATTTATGATATATCACTGTTTGGCACTTGAATGTTTATTCGTTCTCTTTTTCAATCAATATTCCCAATTCAAATCTATTCATTAAATACTAATCGTATATGCCTTTGCACAAACTGATAGATAAATGTTTATTTTTATAGACAATTATTCATCTGTACTGTTGTGAATGTGAACACATGTAGGGACAATCGAATGTATTTGTATATACAATTACAGAACGTGTTAGTAAAATCTGAGAACTCTATATGAAGTACTTCATTTGCAAAATATCAATAAATCGTCTAACATTTCATTGTTCCTTCGTTTCCATACCAATCATTCTCTGTTCTCATTCACTTTACTTCGATCTTCTTAACTTTCTGCTGCCAGGTATTTCACTTTCGATTGATGGTCCTTACCATTTATATCTGTCGACATCAGTAGCATATGCCATAATACTTCTTGGATTAATCGGAAATTATGTTACTCTAAGATTCTTATGATTCACACTTTGAATTTTTGAAAATCTGTATATTTTATTTGCTTTATATTTCAAAATCACTTTCTTCTATTTGTCCACAAGTTGAGCAAATGCTGATTATCTCCCTGTTTAAGGGTTTACGATATTACAATTCTACTGAAAGTGAACGAATTAAAGCAGGATTCAAATCTACGATTCAGTAGATAAAATTTAAATAATTCAACTATCATTTCACTGTTCTATGTCAATTATGAATTGTAAATGATTTGTTTAACTAGTTTATTGTTGATTGTGTTGGGGAGATCCGGAGAATTCTTCGAAAAAAGCCAAAATAATGCTCTGAAAACGTTGAGAAAACCCCTTATCCAATCACCATTCAATAAAAGTTTTGCCAGAAACATTTAGAAAGTGAAAAGTCACATGTCGTGTTTTTTAATTGGATGATTACCTATACTGCTACAATGTTTAGCAGCGTTCCAGAATTTTATGGAAGCCCAGGGCTATCTGGAATGCCATAAATACCTTAGAGCTTCCGTACATAAACGGACCCTCGGAGCAAAACGTTTCCTTCCGTACTTCGTGCCTTTTCTCTCATGTTCAAGTTACTGTGTACATTTAGTCTGGGGGTTACTAGAGAGCTTAAGAAACCGAATCCAGCGTTCGAATAGAAGACCTATCAGATTATTTAGGAAGCCTATCATATAGTCATACTATTTTTGTTTACTTGATCAATCATTCATTAAAATAGTTAGCATATATAGTAATAAGAGCATTCTTCAGTTTAAATATACTTATCTGATTAAAAATAACTCTTCTTATATTTTATTCATCTAGGTCGATATGAAAGAAGATTAGTATAGTATTCTCTAAACAGCAGTATTCTTAACTGACAGTTAGTATGTAATATTAGCTTTTTCTTATTATACTAAAATATTTGAAAGTCCATAGTTATTGACCTGTTTGTTCAACACTTAGCTCAACATCAAATGTATGCATTGTATCTGGAGGTCTATATGTTAATATATTCATTGATTATTTAATCATAAGGGGATAACAGAAACGTAAAGCAATTAGTCGCGTTTATAAATTTCAATTGAACAATGAGAAGACAAAGTTGGTCACACATATACTTGTCAAGGCATTTTTTATATGAAAATTAATAAAGTTCAATTAAATGAATGATCAAGGAAAGAAGTAACAAAGGGGAGAGAAAGAATAAGAAATTGTCGCGTTATCCTAGGCCATAGAATGACTTTAGGATTACCAAGGTAAATTCAAGTTACGACAAATTATTTTTGTACAAATAAGGACGAAATCGAATGTTCGGCACTTCAACCGGACCCCAAACCAATGGTGCACATGGGCTCCGGTATCCTGAAGGAACAAACGGCGTATGAACCAATCGTTGGTCACCGGCTACCATGGGACTGCATCTCCTCACGATGCTCCACTGCCTTGTGGGTCAGACGTTCAGGTCGAAGGCTCGGGGTGTGGCCCCCTAAGAAAACCACCTGTCTCGATTTGGGCACCCAGGCAGTATCACAGCCCTCACACAAATCAATTGAGATACGTGTGGCGCATATGTACTTGGTGCCTCTCTGTACCTATACTTATGTGTTAAAATAAAAAATAAATAAAACTACTATCTTACAAAATATGAAAGCCGGACATTGGGTGTTCATGGAAGCGCTTCGTGAAACAAATTATAATAACAAGAACCAATTTACCTCCTCCTTCTAATACGCTGTGACGAACCGCTAGATCTTATACGCACGTTCCTCCAACACACAAATTCTATATAAGAATTTTGATCTCGACTAATATGCGAATCTCGCACAACATAATGACTGTAACTCGACCTTTCATAATTAATGATAGCCGTCTTCAACGCTTCAATCGATGGAATGGCAACCAGAAACAAGGTTGTTAAAAACACTTCACCCAGTTCCGTTACGTGAGAAACAACAGCGCTTGTACTTGGAACGTTACTGTCCTCCATAATGACGATTAAAATGTACATCGTCTACATGTACTGATGATTTATAACAACTTTCCAGACATAACTATCCAATTACATAGAAGTTTTAAAACTACCCATTTCATTGGACGAAACAGGGGATGAAAAGTATTGTAATTCGGGGGTGGAAAAAATTTTTCAGTGGGGTGGGGGACACTTTTAAAAAAAAATTGCCGGTGGGATAAGATAATTCTAGGATTACCAAGGTAAATTCAAGGTTACGACATATTATTTTTGTACAAATAAGGAGGGGGTTATTCGTAAATTTAAACCCCCCTTATTTGTCATTCAATGGCCTAGGATAACGCAACAATTTCTTATTCTTTCTCTCCTCTTTGTTACTTTTTTACTTGAACTTTCATTTAATTGACCTTTATTAATTTTCATATAGAATGCCATGACAAATATATATGTGACCAGATTGTTCTAAATGTATAGCTCAAATACATCACATTTTCCCGATCAACTCCGTCTTCTCATTGTTCTATCGAGATAATAGAAATGTAAATCATTGAATATCATCTAAGTGGCATAAAGATGAAGAACTTGTCACGATGCCTAAAATCCATGAGTCTGATAACTGATATGATTATGAATGCATAATGCGAAGAAGTCTCACAATTTGATGAAATAGCTGTTCGGTAAATATAGGCTTCAATCTACTGTGGGAGAGAACAAACCAGATCTCAGAGGAAGAAGAAGCGCTGCAAGTGAATAACACACATATTGAGGAAATCACCAAACTGCCTCACAACGCAAGTCATCACATGGAATTCTCAAGGCCAAAGGAGAAGAGGAAGACCAAAGAACACATTACGCCGAAAAATGGAGACAGACATGAGAAGAATAAACAACAATGGGATAAAACTAGAGAGGAAGGATCAGGACAGAGTAGTTTGGGGAATGCTGATCAGTGGCTTATGCTCCATTTGAGTAACTGGCTTAAGTAAGTAAATATAGGCTTTCAATGCTTGATTAGCTGATGTTAATCAGTCATGTAAACGATAAACAAATTTTTCGATAGAACAATGAGAAGACGGAGTTGATCTGAAAAATGTGATGTATTTGCGCGATACATTTCGAACATTCTGGTCACACTTATACTTGTCAGGGCATTTTATATGAAAATTCATAAAGGTCAATTACATGAAAGTTAAAGTACAAACAAAAATAACAAAGGGGAGAGAAAGGATAAGAAATTGTCGCATTATCCTAGGCCATAGAATGACTCAAGGATTACCAAGGTAAATTCAAGGTTACGACAAATTGTTTTTGTACACATAAAGGGGGCTTAAATTTACGAATAGCCAAGGCTTCTATAAACTTAAGAATTCGTCCTTGACAATTTCTATACAACGTTTTAAAAGCTGCATTAATATCTATTTTATGCCCCGTTTCAATTATATATTTCGCAATCGATGACCCTGGTTTTCTACCACCCACGTTGATCGGATCGTTTGACACACATTGATTTTGAAGCCATTTAGGCACATGTTCATTGACACTTGATTGCATTATTCGATTACTCAAATTTTTCGCTTTTTAACTAATAACTGAGTTTTTTGTTAAATTTTAGTATTCAATGGACGTGATTTAGAAGATGATGCCAACAATGATACTGAAAATCCTTTTAAATCAATATATATAGCTTTACTAAAAGCGAATAGAGATGAATTTACATTTATAAATGGAAATCTTGTACAAAGAGATGCGGAAGTATTATTTAATACATTAAAACAAGACATTAGGATAGATGAATCGAAGTAAGTGTATTGTTTTTATTATATCGGGATAAATATTAAACAAAGGTGAACTTTCGGAATGGTCCAATCTGAAGTTATTATTTATGCTTTTGCTGTACTGTTATTAAATACTTAAACTGTTACATTCTTACACTCCTCCAATTTTGTTTGACGTACTAACGATTGTTTTGTCTTTTACATTTCCCAAAGTTATTGTTCATTCATTACGGACCTATTACTCAGTTCTTTCGCACTAATGGTGTAGTTGTGCTCATATGGTAAATTCCTGATTCTGTTGATGCGTTGTCAAGATTTTGCTTCATATTACTGTGTGAATGATCCATAAATCCGAACTGTTTAGTTAGACGTCATCTATCTCCTGAGTTTTTTTTTGTTGTGTCTATCGGAGGAGGAAACGTGGAAAACTGAATTCTGGACCGATAATCATCTTGTTGTTATTTCACATTTATCATATTATCCGTTCACTGGATGTCATTGGTACTAGTTGGCAATGTAAATGATCTGATCAATACATTGACTAGATCAATGCAACTGCTTTCTTGTCTTACTATTAGATCATACAAACCCTAAGTAACTGAACAAAGATATCAGTTTTTCCTTGTAGATATACTCGTATGATTTATCAATCCTACATAGCTCTTACTTAGTTTGTGAATTTTGCATTGAAAGCGAATTAAATTTCATAAACAGAATTTTTGTGACTTACTATAAATAATTGTTCTGTATTCCACTTTCAGTCACTAGTTTTCTTCTGGACTAAGTTTAAGTTTCAAGTATTTAACCATAAATACTTTACTTTTGTAAAGATCGTCGACAAATTCACTAGTATAAAGCATGAAATCTAACTAGAACTCGAAACACATCATTGATTAAATACATGAATATGATTCTCGAATCAATTTGAAGCACCATACTACACGTTTTTTTAATGAAGTGGTAAAATAATTTTTTTAATATTTATACATATTAGATTCATTCCTATCTTGATTACACGATCTTATGGTCATTTACGAGCTGTATTCAATGAATATTCATTACTTGGTGAACGTGATTTGGAGGAGGAAATGCGTGAACATGAACTCAATTCTTTAGTGTCTATTGGTAAGTAGTCATCACTACTATTTATTCAAAGGTATGGTGAGTTGATTAATTAGTATGATTTAACATAATTTGAGATTAGTTGGTAAATTATATCTTACTTACTTACTTACTTACTGACACCTATTACCCATATTGGAGGAGCATAGGCCACTCATCAGCATTATCCATACATCTGTGTTCCGGGCAATCATTTCAAGTTCCCTTCCAGTTGCTAATCACTCTTTAGATGTCCGCTTTCAATTACCGGTGCACTGTGTCCCTTAGTTTTCCGTTTTCCGTTTCCCTTCAGGATTCCAAGTTAGCACTTGACTCGTGATTCAGTTTGGTGATTTCCGTGGTGTATGTCCTATCCAACTCCAGTGTCGTTTCCTAATTTCCTCCTCAGCTGGAATCTGGTTTGTTCTCTCCCACAGTAGTCTGTTGTTGATGGTGTCCGGTCAACGGACATTCAGCATTTTACGTAAACAACAGTTTATAAATAGATGTACCTTATTGATTATGGCTGTTGTAGTTCTGGAAGTTTCAACTCTGTACAGTAGGACTGTCTTGATATTTGTGTTGAAGATTGTAACTTTGATATTGGTTGACAATTATTCTGAGTCCCATATATTATTTAGTTGTAAGAAGGCTGTCCTTATTTTGCCAATCCTCTCCTTTACGTCTGCATCAGTTACTCCACGTTCATCGGTGATACTACCCAGATACGTCAGAGATTCCACCTGCCCCACAGTTTCTCCACCAAGTAAGATTGAATTGATGTTCTTTGTGTTGTATTTGAGGATGTTGCTTTTTCTCCCGTTTATGTTGAAGCTTACTGCTGCAGAGGCTTCTGTCACACTAGTTGTTTTCATCGGCATTTGCTTGTGTGTTTGGGATAGAAGGACCAGGTCATCTACAAAGTTCAAATCTTCTAATTGATCCTGAGCTGTCCATTGTATCCCATGTTTCCTCTCACATGTTCAGGTCTTCATATTAAGTTGAACTCTACTTAAAATTAAACAACTTTAATATCTACAATTACTAGTTAAAATGTAGTAAGGGATGTCAAATTTGTCTAATGTTTAGTGTTGATCAAGTTCTACTAATCAACATGATTCAATCTGATCATTAGTCTAAATGAAATAACATTGTAGGTATCATGTTTTTGATGTAAGATAGTTTTAGCTAATGTCTTACATATACATAAGAAAACCAGAGAATAACAAGCATGACATATTTTTATTCAGCTTTAATCGTAGCACATATGTGAATGGTGAATTTTGAAGACCATAAAATTATGTTAAATTTATAATAAAGCTTATTTATCTTTTACAAAGTTAAGTCATGGTATAGTGAACGAGAATACAAGTGGGGACAACCGCATGTATTTGAACACAAAATTACAGAACAACTTAGTAAAATCTGAGAAGCATACAGTAAGTATATCATTTGCAAAATGTCGATCAATCATTTCAGATTTCACTGTTCCTTCATTCTCACAGAAATCATTCACTGTTCTCGTTCACTTTTCTTTGATCTTATCAACCTTCTGCTGCGAAGCATTTCACTTACGATTGATGATACATACTACTTATATCTGTCGACATCAGTGGCACACATCATAATAGAATTAAGCTAATGTATTTTTAATCATTTATCACTTACCAGATTACTTACTGATAACTATCAACAAATTGAACTGTTTGGTCTCATATTAAATCATTAAGTGAGCAAGTAATTGTTCAGTATAATGAACATTTTTCATTTCTTACATTTACTTATGTACTTATGTATAACTCGTTTCAGTCCGTTGCATACAAAATAGACCAAGATATTTTGCTGAAAAATTAGTCAAAGCTACGAAACATACAGAAAAATATTCTAAGACTATTATACGGATTATTATCTCTCGTTGTGAAGTCGATATGGGACAAATTATGGAAGAATTTCTTAATTTAAATGGCGAACCATTAAATAATTGTCTACAAGTACGTATAAACAAAATTTAAAAAGTAATAGTTTGCAATGATTATGATGAATTTACTTAAACTTGAACATGGATATAATTGATAATATAGATTGATTAGAATTGGAAATACCATTATCTATTCGTGTCAATCTATAACCCATGGAAATCTGTGTGAGCAATAATGCTGAATATTACTGAGTATTATTGCTTCAATCAAATATTTCTGGAAAAATTTCTACGTTCATGTCTAAACATGCATACATCACACTTGCAGTCTCACAGTCTATTGATTTACCAAACTTCAAAATGCTTCCAAAAACAATGACAATTATCACCTAGTCCTGTTTTACTTAAAACAAGTTGTGTCAAGAGTCGGTTGTTGAACATCAGAACTATTTGAAACTATTTCTATGTGAAAACTGTTTGTCAATTCATAGTTTAAGCTATCTTAACATTATTTCTTTTCCCAGTCAGCTTACTTACGTATTGTATGACGGTTAGAATTGATTCTTTTTGAGAAGGAAGATATTACTTCAACCAATTGTGGACATATTATACTGAGACAGATACTTAAATTAACACACAGATTTATGTCAATATAACTGTGCATTACCTCCTGATCCTACATTCTAATTTGTCCTTGTTTCACGTGATATGTTTTGGACTAATTGTTTGATAGATCATTCAAATGAAGTTATTGTATCCATATCGATTGTCAGAACAGAATGCATTCACACTCCTTCAAGTCATATTACAAGTTATATTTCTACATAGACTTGTATTTTAATAGATCATGTATAGCGCTTGACCAGTCACTGTAGTGACAGTAGTTCCTCTATCACAAAGGCAGAAACATCACACTCCATGCACCACACTTCGACCAGACAAAATACTTCAAAGTGACTTCTAGTTGTCTTTGACAACAGAAGGAATATTTTACAGCATTCTTCCATGTTGGTTTAATAACGATCTCATGGAACACTCAACTCTTAATATGATTTAATATTTAAATTTCCTTTCACACAATTCACTGATCCTCTGATAACTAAAATGCAGGCTTCCATAGTCACCAGTCTTACAAGGATATATCAATTAGATCAGTGTTAGATAGAAGTTGATGAGCATGATAAGGGTGTGTTGCATCGGTAACCATCACTAAACCAATCAGCGTTGACATGATGAACTAGTATTTCAAATTCAATGCATGAACTCATATCAAATGTTACACCTCTGACAGGTGATCGTGAACACGATGCATTCATCAAGTGCTTAAAACACTTGAGTGTGGTAAGTAACTGTCTGTTATATCATCACTAATAAGAAACTGTTCAGTATGGGCTTGGAATACGTGCTCGTCATGATGCGGACTACGTCTGAGATGGAAACCAATAAGAGTCGACTACTTTCTCATTTGTTCAATTTAAAATCTCAGTGAAATCATGTGATCAATAGTGCACTGAATAATATCAATCCTGTGACGTACGAATTCTAAAACAGAGAGAAATACGATGTACAGTGCATTATATCGACATTTCAGTGAGCTCACATAAAACATTGTGAAGCGACGTTGAGTCGTCAATGTTAATCCATCGTGAATCTAGAAATGAATTGATTTGCGGCACCCGAATCAGTAGAAATTAATTGAACCTCATAAACTTATCAAATCATGAGGAAACACTTCATGTACATAAGATTCATGACATTGTTACGTTGTAACTGTATAATCCGAGGTGTTGTTCGGTTAACAAGTGACACAGAAACTGCAAGGTAGTACTTCGTATTGCTGAAACCTGATTACAACGACAAAGTGAAGGGTTTTGACATGTTTCGAAATACAATTATAAGAAGACTAGATGACCCAACATCCATGTATAGATATGTGTGTGTGTGTTTGTCTGATTTGATGATAATATCAGATCACTTATCTATAAGTAAGTTGTGAAGGAAATAAATCACTTGAACGAGAAGCTTTAGATTTAATACACCACTATTATTTCGACAGGATTGTCTTTCATCTTGGTAAATCTAAGTGTTAAATTGTAGCAAACTAGTCCGACATATGTGAATGAATGTCATATCCCACATTGATAATAAATGATGACATGATTCATAACAAAATTCTACAATGTATTACTTTTGTATTGTAATCATTTGTCAAGTGATCGAACGTGATAAATGGAAATAATTTCGTAAATTTTATTTCTCAAATATCTTTTATTATAGTTTAATAGGGAAAACGACCAATCATACCAAATAAAACGAACTATATACCACACTGTACTGGATACAACACCAACTGATTGTCGTCGTCTGTTATTAAACCTAATCGGTTTATAGTCTTCTTACCAGTTACATTCATTTATTTACAGTGAGTAAATTCGTCAGACAACTACAAATTATTATGTAGACGTCAACGATTTTCTTATATACAAAATATATTTGTTGACATGTTCCAATTCACAATTAACATAAATATTTTCCTCGTTTAACAAATGAGAATATTGTTCACAATTGTTTTCTCTCTCCAAATCCTCTCTCTGTCTTTACGCTCTACTCCATTTGTTTTATCTCCTACGAAAATGTAGTAATAAGATTTGTTTGCTTAACTATTTTGTTTAAATCATTAAAATGATTTATCATAAGATTGATTTGTTCAAGTTTTCATTGAGAGGAGCGAGTGGTGTGAAGCAAGTTGAAAGATATTAGTTTATTCAACTGAATGATCATTTGGTTGTTTATCGTGTGCCCCCTAACAAGTCAAATCGGAGAACAACAAAGGAGAGATACATTCAGTGTGACTTCAAGACTTCTAAACAAATCATGCAACAAATCAAACCTTGACTTATTCGTGTTGCGTATCGATCAGCTAGAGTGAAATATGCATATTTTGGAATGCATTCTGTTTTCAAACTAGTAATAGACCTTCACTAATCTCATGAAGACCACCTCGTTGAACCAATAAATTTAACTCAACTTCAATTTCCTTAACATTAGTCCTCATCCTCTCAATAATATTTTGTGCTGACTGACGAATTATGAATACGCTACAAAAATATTTGATAACTGTATTCCAGATCAGTTTGATTGCTAAATACATGGAAGTGCATTGCCCTATTTTCTTTCTCTAGTCTAACTCCATTCACTGATAATTAAACTGAAACATCAGTCAGTCTACACTAATTTGATGGTTGATATCAGTTTAGAGTGGATATTTCTCACTATCTACTTAAATCTCATAATCATAACACGATCAGAATGATATGATTATTGTAATTTGTTCTAGTATTTGAAACGACATGGTCGAATGCTCACATAATAATAGGTTAACCATTTAGCGTAGTCAACAGAAATCCTAACACCATCTTGAATGTAAATTCCTTTATCATTGATATTTTTCCATTAAGACGCATCTTTTTTCTTTAATTAATAAATGATCTGTGTAGAACTTGCAAACATTTCAGTAATTTAAATTAGATTCTCAAACTGGATAAATTCAAAATGCAACTTATATGGGATTTCTAAAAGTTACTTTCCCTTTACTTCATAAACAACGAATATAAATAGAAATCTAAAGGTGTATTGCATTATTTAACTGCAATTTCAATTTGTTTGTGTGACTTTAAAAGCATTGATACTTTAGTGGCCATGGTTCTGACTTCAATTAGATCGTAAGGATGTTTGCTGTCGAAATATATATCCTGACTATTCTCGTATATATGATAATTGAGTTAGATCGTGTTAGTCAATAAAGAAATTAAATAAGTCAAATAACGAGAATGGACTTTTGAATATATGCATTTTGCACAATCGTTGATCTAAACATACTAACGGAGAAATGAAGCGAAGAGGAATGACGTGCAGTAGAGAAGGCATGTGAGCCAACTCGATTCAATCAAGCGTTAATCAATATTTATAGTCATAAAAATAAGCTACAGATATGTGATTAATAGGATAAGCAGTGTATACACACATACTCTCATATAAAAAGGACAAAATATGACTCAAGAAGAACGAATAGATTGACCTGTCCAAAAGCTAGAATAAGGTATATGGGCTTAACATAATAACCGACACTACAATACTTAATTGGGTTATGTTGCATTTTACACGTTTATAATGTGGTGAACGAGAACACAAGTAGGAATAATGGGATGTATTTGAATACAAAATTACAGAAAATTTAAGGAAAATCTATGATCCTTTCTGCGGTATGTTTTAGTCATGTTTTGTTTTTATTATTTTGTAATTTTAATACGTCATTAGTTATTATTATCTTCTTACAGTGTTTCATGATTATTATTCAATTATCAGGACCTATATGTTTTTCATTTCTCATCGGTCAAGTGGGAAATTATTTTTCATATTTCTGACCTGTAAATCGTTTTCATCCACCACATTGTTCACTAACTCTTTAAGCATTACGCAACCTTCTTTTAGTATTTAAAATCATCAAATGTTAATTTATAAACAGAGTTGTCTCTTTTCACTTTCTCTTCTGGATATAAAGCTAGCTCTAAAGTTTCGTCTTCTTTGACTCATTTTAGGATGTGAATTATGATTGCTAAAGTGTTGTTATGTGTCATAAATCCATACTGTTTGAGTCCCAACTCGTTGTTTTCGTATTAGATTAAATCTCAATTGTTCATGAACAGGCCACGTCAAGCGGAAATCTCAATACTCAGTCGTGTTTACCAAGATTTTAAAAACACACTTTCGTAAATTAGAAAATCTAGTGCCTTCTTTTCGCTTTATGACAAAATTACTTAATTCGTTGCAAATCATTACTAAATCCAATCTAACAAGTTGAATTGAATGAGGCCTGTGATCTTTGTATTTGAACATCTTTCGACCCAAAAAAGACAGTCTAAGTTGGTTCGATTGTTTAAAATTTTCTAAGTTACCTTATGTCTATGAATAATATGTCAAAATCGTAATATCGATAGGAGAATTCTAGAATAGTCAAAATTACGCAAAGCTTTTGTATAAATATTCTAATCATAGTATATGTAACATATGCGACATGCGGTAACTAATTATTAC